TACTGTTTTTGAATTCAGTACCATGGTCACTTCGGTTAGATCGTACTTTAACATTGTTTAGTACTTCTATCTTTTTGATGAACGAAATGATTTCTTCAGGTGCTTCGTCCTTGGATCTTAGAAAGAATACCCAAGTATACCTGGCATACTCATCAACAATGACAAGYGYGAAYTTCTTTCCAGCTAAGGATTRSACGTTGACTGGACCAAAAAGATCCATGTGCAATAGCTGAAGAGGCGCGGTCACTGAAGAGATTTGTTTCGACTTGAAACTAGCTCTTGTATGTTCTCCTTTTTCATAGGCTGAGCAAAGAGATTCCTTTGCGAATGAGTGTTGAGGAAAACCTGTGACAAGATCATTTCTTGACAGCTCACTGAGTGTCTTGAAGTTGAGATGAGATAGTCGTTTGTGCCATAACCAGTTAGTATCTTATGAGGCTTTAGAAAAGAAGCAACTATATCGGTGAGAGGAGAATTCATGTTGATGATATAAACATTCTCTAGACGAGAACCGGTTAGAGCAACCTTATCATCTTTGTCGAGAACATGACAAGAATTMTTGAGGAATTTAATTGTATAATCTTTATCACACAGTTGGCTGATGCTAAGAAGATTGTGCTTCAGTCCTTCAACGTATGCAACGCGTTTGAAAGTTGTTGTACCGCTGGATAATATACCAAATCCTTTAGTATATCCTTTTTCCATTTCCACCGAAGGTTACGGAAGGTCCTCTTTCTTCCTTGAAGTTAGACAGAAGAGATATATCTCCAGTCATATGTTTTGAACATCCACTGTCCAGATACCATATGCCTTTGACATCCTGAGCAAGGGAAAAAAATAAGAAATGTTATTGGACCCAGCTAAATGGGTCCAGCTTTGTTAGAGGCTTCATCATTTGATACTGATGAATCATTATCAGATGATGGCATCATTAAACCTGAAGAGGTTGAATGGAAAGAGGAACAACCCTTGATACTACCAAGGTAGTTTCAGTGGAGGTCTTCACTGAGTCTGTCAAAGAGACTTCAGTGGTAGGAATTACAACGTCTGATGCTGAAGATATTTCAGCAGGATTTGTCTTAACTGAGCCTGAAGAAGAGGCTTCAACTGTTTTCTTCACATTGACTGCAGGAGCAGCCTTTGTGGATGATTTCACTTTAGTTGATTTCTCAACTTTGGTTACTTTCTTGTTCAAAACTGGTGAACCAGCTTTGACGGTAGAAGGACACTTACTGGCAACATGTGTTCTTTGACCATAGTGTTTACACTTCCTAAAACTAGGAGTAGCTTTAGGGCCAGGAAGTATCAGGCTAGAAGTGGGACCAGCTCCGAGGATTCCCTTCTCATTGGTTCTTGGAGGAACCTTTGAGGGAATAGATTCCTTAGGTGAAAAGTTCACCTTGAGCTGTGACTTAGATTTCTGATGCGATTCAGATTTCCTAGTCCCTGA